AGCCCAGGGGCTGTCCAAAGGGAGGGGCTCTGTGGGGAATAGAGCCACCCTGGGTCTGAGTGTGGCCTGGGTAAAGCAAAATGGCACAGTGGTGGCAGCACCAGCACTGGGCTGACTAACTCAGTACCAGCCGAGACATGCTGGACTCCCCCCCCCCCCCCCCCGTCTTTGACCAGTGCTATCCTCAGTGGTCTGCACGTTCTGTCATTTGTCCCATCATGGTCCTGTTTTGTAGCCAGGAAAGCAAAGGCTGGAGGGGTGGGACCACTGTTGATTGTTGAAGCCAGGAGTGAACGCTGCTGCCTTCCTGGCTCTACTGATGTCTTTGCCCATGCTCTGATCCTTGTGGTAAAAGTCTGGGCTTCTAGGTAATGGAGAGAACTTAGTTGGTAATGTGCTAGCTTTGCAAACATGAAGACCTGAGTTCTATCCCTCCAGCCCATCTCAGAAATCAAACAAAACAGCCAGAGGGCTGGAGACATGGCTCAGTGGTTAAGAACACTCACTGGCTGCTCCTTCTGGAGGACCTAACTTTGACTCCCAGCCCCCATATGGTAGCTCACAACTGTCTGTAGCTACAGTTCCAGTGGGTCTGACATCCACTTCTGTCCTCCCAGATTCCACTCCCCCTCCTCCCCAAATCTCCCCTGTGTCAGCCCCAGCAGTGACTAGCCCCTGTCCCTCCCACCGCTCAATAGTGGCCTTCCCTCCCTCTCTTCTCTCCGCTGCAGAGGAAGACCCGTGTGCTTGTGAGTCCATAGTGAGATTTGAGGCCAAGGTGGAGGATCTGCTGCAGACCCTAACCAGGAAGCATATCCTTGCTCAGGCTGTGGAGGGCAGGGGTGAGGAGGGCGGGAGAAGCACAGAGGGCCAGGATACCAGGGCATGGCCACAGAGGGTTTGGCTGTAGGTATAGGCTTGGGGCAGCCCCCTCCTGCTAAGACCTGGCGTCTGGCTAGCAAGGCTGGTACCTGCCTGGTAATGAGCCTTGTCAAACTCAGTAGCTCCCATATGGCAGGGAAACTGAGGCAGAAGCCAAGTTCTAGGGATGGGGCACAGATGGAATCTGGATCCGCTTCCCAAATGTGGAGCTCATGGGCTCATTTCTCAGGCACCTGGTGACATGACAAACCTCAGAGGCGGACCCAGCCCTGAGAGCTCGCCAGTCTCAGGGATTCCCCAGGACTAAGCACTCCTGGGCTTTGGTAGAGGGGTAGGGAGTGAGAGAAAGTCCTGATGTCGCTCCTAGGGGAATCCAGAAGTGGGGTCAGGTCATTACTCCCAGCTCTGGTCACATGCTCCTGCCCTTAACTCCAAGTCCACTGGAAGCTCTGAGCAAGCGGCTGGCTGTCCTGGAGAACAGAATCGTCTAACAGCTCCCATGGCCTTGGCATCTTCCACCCAACGCGTGACTCACAGAGTCCTGGGAAGGTCCTCTGTAGCTGGAGTTAGTCTGGCTTCGATGCAGTAGCAAGGCAGCCTGGGGAGAAGGACCGTAGGTCTCCCCAGCCTCTGGTGTCCTAGGGCTGAGAGCAGCAGAGGACGCGTGCTTGTGCCTGTTGGGAGTGCATGATGATGTCTGTGAGAGTGTGCGTGCCCAAGCGTGCTCACGTGTGTCCGGGAGCAGGGCCGTGTGCACGGGTGGAAATGCAGAGAATGGTTGCGTGAGAGACTGGGTGTGCGTTTTTTTTCCAATCAAAAGCTTAATATATTTCTGTTTTTTTTTCTCTAGTTAATTCTCTAGCCTTTCTTGACTCAGTGATTCTACTATTCCTTGAGGAGAAACAATTAAATGTGGTTCACTGTATACCCTGGATGGAATTGGAAGTGGTGGCTGGGGGTGAGGAGGAAGGAGGATGGAGGTGAACGTGCTGGGGTTGCTGGGATGAGGCAGTTGTGGGGACAGCCGCATGGTTCTGATGAAGCTGACAGAGGTCATACCACGACCAGATCGGCCTATGTCCTGCCTGTTCTTCTTCACATTCGTCCCCATGGTACCAGTCCACTCTCCCAGGGACCAGTCAGAGAAGGCTCACCCATCGAACCCACTTTATGGAGGGGAAGGCTGAGTGATGACGAGGTTTCTATCTGGGTACCGGCTCTTGCATCAGGACCGCAGGACAGCAGAAGAATGCAGTGCCACAGGGATGGGAAGTGATACCAGTTAGGAATTACTTATTCAGGCATTCATTTCTCAGGTATCGAATGTGTGCACAGCCTCCAGATCAGACAGGAGGGAGAGGGTGGCCCTGAGAGGGACTCAGAGAGGCAGAATCTTTGCTTCACCTAGGCAGCTGGAGAAGAATGTGGCTTTAGGTGGTGACAGTCTCTCCTGGGAAGCCTGGGTTGGGAGCATTCGAGTTGGGTGATGGGGAGGTCTGCTGAGCCTGGGGTGATGGGGAAGACCACTGAGCCTGGGTTGACCTGGTCTCTCAGGTTTTCTGCAACAACTCTGATGAGCTTCTTTGGCTCACTGGCCTGCACAGGCTGGGCTAGCTGGGCCTCTGGGATGGGCCAGGAGCCTACCCCAGCATGAACATTTGGCTTGCCCCATGTCTGTTCCTCATAAGGAACTTAGGTCACGGGGGAACTCTCTGACAGAGTCCTGTGCCCTCTCACATGATGTCTGTGCCCAGGGCTTCCAGACACCAAGGCCTGAGTACTCAACAGGCAGTTTCTCTGGGACAACCTCGTCTGCATTTTGGGAAGCACCACCCCGAAGGTTCCAGGGCTCAGCTAGCAGGGAGAGTGAGCATGGAGGCTTTTAGGACAGTGACTCCCTCTCAGTCTGTCACGCAACAAATGCAGTGGATTTAGGCCGGGCCTTAGTCTAGGTGCTAGAGAAAGAACAGAGCTGAAAACAAAAACTGACAGCCTTGCTTTGCCAATGTTGTGTGATCCCGGGCCAATAGGGATCTTGGGTCCTCCTCAGTGCAACGGAGATTTGGCCCAGGTCCTTTCCAAGGACCCCAAACAGAAGCAAATGGCTAGAGAAGCACCCACGAGTACTGCCTGTGCCTGGCACAGAGTGGCTACTAGGCTCTGAGCATCCACGAGCGGTCTCACAGGGAGGTGAGGGTGGAGGGTTTAGGATCCCAGGGTATGAATCAATGCCCCTCCCCACCAGTTCCCTGGCTCCAAGAGACTCTATCATCCTTGACTGTCCACTGGTGCCCTGTACCATCTCACAAGATACCTGTGACCAGGGCGTCCAGAGAGCCAAGGGCTGGGTACACATGGGGCAGGACCTGCTGGGCACATGTGGGTTTGGTGGGAGAGCCTTGGAGGCCAGGCAAAGCCCTTTGAGGACCCAGGATATGAGGCACACGAGGAGATGGGTAGAGGTCAGCAAGGGTACAGGACTTTGGGAGAAGGAGAACTGAGTAGCCAGGTTCAATGGCCTATTCTTTATTGCTTGGCTCACTCATGCACGCCTGAGTTCATTTCACATTAACGAAGCAGAGTACACACCAGGTGCTGGGAATAAAATGGAAAATGCCCCGTGGCCTCTGGTAGTTTGCACTTACTGTGTAGGGGAGGACCACAGCATTAGAAAGAACTCCATGGAGATTTGAGTCAGGGCTAGAGAGTGGGAGAGCAGGCTGTGGTAGGGGTCCGTGACTCCAGTGGCTGGTGAAGCCTGGGGCTGGGGAAGGCATCCTGGCAGAGGGCCAGCCTCAGCATGGATTTAGAGTGGCAAGGGAGGTGGGAAGAATGTGTTGAGGGGGCAGAGAAAGGCACGTGGGAAGTCCTGGACTGGGAAGGCAGGCCTGGAGTAAATGCCACAGGGCTGGGGAGTAGCCAGGGGCTGGGAAGAAGCCTG